TGTGTGTGTGTGTGTGTGTGTGTGTGTGTGTGTGTGTGTGTGTGTGTGTGTGTGTGTGTGTGTGTGTGTGTGTGTTTGTGTGTGTGTGTGTGTCTGTGCGTGTTCAAGTGAAGCGTGTTCTGGAAAGCACGCGGAGAGGGCGGGGCATCCTCTGGACAGGGTCAGAGGAGAAGGATTGAGTAAGTGCTGATCCATTGTACAAGGAGGAGGCATGGTGGGGCCCTCTTGGAGCTCCTGGGGACTGCCTGGGGGTCTCGCGAGGGCTCCTGCAAGGTCAACGCGGGGCCTGTGAGGGGCCTCTGGGGGCTTCTTGGAGGCCTCTTGGGCCGTTGTTGGGTTCTTGTTGGCCCTTGGCCCATCTGACGCCTTCGGAGGCCGCCTCGGAGGCCACTCCGGGCCGTCGTCGGGCCACCCTGGGGCGCCTCTTGGGCTGTACGGGAGGCCAATTGCCTTCTCCAGGCTGGCCACCCTCTCCTTCGCCCCGCTGCGCCCCCTGCCGGCCCCGTCGACGGCCTTCTCCGCCTCGACCGCCGCTGCGTAAGCTCGCTGGAGACGCGCAGGCGAGAGCATTGGGCTTCGGGGGCGGCGGCACTGCCGCTGCAGCAGCCTGCTGGTGCAGCTCCCTCGTGGCCAGCTGTGACGCCGACGCGTTCGGCCCAGCTGCTTCGCGAGGGGGCCCCCGAAGCTGGACCTTGAGGGGTCTGCAGCGCGAGGCGAACTCCCGCTTTGGCCCGCCACCCCGGCAACGGCACTCCTTCACGACCCCCCGCGCCCAGCCGCGCTGCTTGGACCCGGGCGCCGCATGCCAGGGACGCCTGCAGCTTCAGCTCCTCCGCTTTAGGCACCATGCAGTGTTGGCTGCACTGGCACTGCCCCTTTCTGCGCCTCGAGCTCCCGATCCCAGGCCCAGCTCCTGTTCGCTGCGCGCACGGTGCACGAAGCGCGACCTTTCCGTCCAGCTGAAGGCGCCATCCAGCAACGGCTCTGCACGTGAATGGGAAGTTCCGCACTTGGGGCCACCCAGGAGGAGACACGAAAGAAAGCTTCGGATCAGAGCTATCCACATTATCCCCCAGCGGAAGACAGCATATTGAGCCACAATGGCCACTGACGGAGGAGGAGGCAGGAGGGGTCGGGCCGAGCTTGGAGCTACTTCGCATCGGCTACAGCGGCGTGGCTGTTCAAAATGTAGTGCAGCGTTGTTGTGGTCACTTTGTAGGGGGCCGCTCGCGCTTACAGGCGCTCGGGCCTTACGTGCATCGGCATCCCCCACGAAGGGTCCGCGGGCAGGCTTGTAACCGCTCATCACGGATGCCATCTGGTTTGTTTCCCTTTCCCCATGCGATTCGCCAGGCCCGCCGCCCTTTGCCACTCAAGTTGATTGGGTCTGGGGGATGGGGGAGGTCGATGGGTCGAAAAGTATCCTGGATATCTGGAGCCTGGGAACTGGAAGACATGCGGCTCTTTTTTGTAGGAGGAGGAGGAGGAGGAGGAGGAGGAGGAGGAGGAGGAGGAAGAGGAGGAGGAGGAGGAGGAGGAGGAGGAGGAGGAGGAGGAGTGGGGAGTCCACCTGATTGCAAAAGCTCGCGAAATGAAGCGCTGCTGTTCAGATCTCGCGGGGCTGCAAGAGTGTATCGGGACTACGGGATCAGAGCGATGCGTACCGCATGTCTAAGGTTGAATGTTGTTAGGCTAGCTCGCTCATGTCATCAGTTGATTCGGATGAAATTCCTGGGAGGTAGTATTCAGAATCAGCGCTGGTAGATCTGTGGTCGACAGCAGTCCGAACCTGCCATTATCTCGAATAGATCTGCTTTGTCCCGTTGAATATGGTTAAATCGGGATTGATTATGGGTTCTGTCCTAGCTAATTCGGCTCAGCGGTCACTTGAAATAGCTCAGTAGTAGCCCTCGGTCGTTCTTACTAGGCCCAGGGGATGCTTGCTAACGTGGACCAGCCTACCGAGGCCTTTCTCCAGCGTTCCGCGCGGAGGCATTCCGAGCCTTCTGAGAACACCCCCCCCTCTCACTTCCCTTGTGGGCTCGCCGCCGAGAAACTGAAACGGGAGCCCGAACGCATCGTCCTCCCGGCCTGACGGCCCACTTCGCGCTTGGCCCCGAAGACTGAGGCGGACTCGCTCGAGCTTTCGCGGGCGTTGCCCAGAGTACCCGGACATCCGACGTCGTGATTCTTGTTCGCAGCGCGGCACCCCAGAGGCCCGAACCCTTTCTCCGGGGACTGGCTTCTCATCCCGAGCCGTTTTCTGACGGCCTTGGGGCCTGGCAATGGGCCCCCCCAGTGGCCGAAGAATAGACAAAAGCCTTCCACCGTGGTTTTGCTTCACTTGGGGAACGAACAATGACGTACACGTAAAAACTCAGAGTTCCGCGCGGAGCTTCGAGTTTTTATGTTTATGTCATTGTTCGTTCCCCGATTCATGGCGCACAAGTTAGGATGAAATTCATAATGTTTTTGTTCAGCATCGGCGTTGGCAGATCCATGGTCGGGAACCAACCAAGTTCAGCTTAAATCCGATAGATCCCGTTTCGTCAGCTTCAATCGGGCTTAATATTGGGCTCCAGTTGGGCTCATCCGGCGTGATGACACCGTAGCCAGGCCCTGTAACCTCGAATCCAGGGTCCATTTCGATCCGATCGCTCCTATGCGATATCGATTCAGGCCGATCCAATCCGAGTCGATTCCGATATGTTGGCGATCCTATGCGGTTTGACTGGTGCACAGCGTAGTTGCATATCCTGGAGGGAGAAGGAGGAGGAGGAGGAGGAGGAGGAGGTGAAGGAGGGGAAAGGGGGAGGAAGAGGAGGGTTGGAGGAGGAGGGAGGATGAGGAGGAGGAGAGAGAGGAGGAGGGAAGAAGGAGGAGGAGGGAGGGAGGGAGGAGGAGAATGAGGCGGCGGAGGAGGACAAGGGAGGAGGGAGGAGGAGGGAAGAGGGAGGAGTAGGAGGAGGAGGAGGAGAAGGAAGGAGGTGGAGGAGGGAGGAGGGCGAGGAGGACATGGAAGGGGCCAGTGACGTCGGCGGGTCGGGGCGGGGCCCCCGGGACGGGGCGGCGAGGTGACGGCACCTTCGGGCGCGTGGTTCTCGCGCGGGACCGGCACGACGGCGGGCGAGAGGCCTCCGCGCGCCGCCTCCGCGCGCCGCCTCCGCGCGCCGCCTCGCCCGCCTCCTCCGCCCCCTCCTCCTCCTCCTCCTCTCTCCTCCTCTCCTCCTCCTCCTCCTCCTCCTCCTCCTCCTCCTCCTCCTCCTCCTCCTCCTCCTCCTCCTCCTCCTCCTCCTCCTTCCTCTCCTCCCTCCTCCCTCCTCCTCCTCCTCCTCCTCCTCCTCCCTCCTCCTCCCCCTCCTCCTCATTCAGGCGTCGCGGGGCCATCTGCATTAGGGGCCACGGCTCCGAGGTCAGGTGGTTGCGCGTCGTCTTATGGGCGTATGCCTTGGTCCGCTGGATTGGCCAAAGAACTCCAAAGAGCTCCTCAACCCTCCTCAGCCCTCCTCCTTGTGCAACCCTCCGTCCTCAATTCCTTCCTCGTTCCTCCAGTCTCCTGAATATCTCTGGGAATCAATTATCGATCCCCCCGTCTACGGTGAAAGTGTTTCGCCTCTCGGCCATGGAAGTGGCATCCCGCCCCCGAACCCCTCAGCAAGGGATCCCACCAAGATCCGAGGAGGATTTCAGCAGCACCCCAATCGGGCCCCAATGAGAGCCCAAGAGAAGTGCAACACGAACCCATCTGATGAATTGATGTGTCGTGGTTCTAACGACATCGATCGGCGGTTCCCCCCCTTGCGCACGAATCAATCACTCTGAGTGCTACGGACAACGCCGACGACCTGTTCCCCACGGCCACTTGGGAAGAACAGAGCAGAATCTCTTGGAGGTCCGCACGCATCTCCCGGGTCTGCGCCGGGCTGCGCCGGGCCCCCCTGCGCTGGACATGCGCGTGCACGCGCAGCTGCCTTCGCGTGACGATCCTGCCGACCCCCTGCCATGCCAAGGAGTGTCAGCACATCGGAATGGGGGGGCGGGGGGGGCATCCAGCATGGGGGGGGGGGGGGGCACGGGTCTCGAGGGAGACGGGGCGTCCTGGACCCCGGTGCCTTCCCCCGGGACGAGGTCTTCGGCCTGCCCCGCTTTCCGACACTCCCCCGGCCCGGGGGGGGCTCCGAGAGCCCGCAGTTGTTTGGTATCACCAAAAAAGAAAGGACCCGTTTCCCGCGGGAACCGTTTCCCCCCCGTGGCGAGCCTTGCCGGGTGCTGGAGAGGGGCGGGGGGCGGGAGCGCGAGGCAGGAGGCAGAGGCGGTCGAGGCCTTGGCAGGGAGCAGCTGTGGAGGCGGGCGGGGTGGTGGGGGGGGGGGGGGCGGGAAGGGAGGCGGGCGAGGCCGAGGAGAGGGGAGGCTGAGGGAAGAAGGCTGGGGAGGAGAATCGAGGAGAAAACAAGTGCATGCAGTCGAAACCGATGGTAAGGATAGGTAGCCTTCCCAAGGGTATCCTTGCATCCGTGCCTCGTTGGCCCATTGTTGACTACTTTCGATGGCCCGCCGCGCTCGAAGATGCTTCAACACGGACGTCCATGGGGCTTGCATCCTTATCGCACATCGTTACTATCAGGTTTCAGTGCAATTAAGCATGAATTTTCGGAGCTCCGCGCGGATTTCTTGGATCTGCGCTGGAGCCCCCTCCCTGGCGCGCTCCGCGCGCCAGGGGCAGCGCCGGAGGCGCCGCCAGGGGGTCCCAGCGCAGGTCCAAGAAATCTCGCGGGCTAGCGGGGTCCGTTGCAAAGGGGGTCCCAAAAATGTACGCAACACTTCGTGCAATCGTTCGCGCGGGATGCGCACGTCGCACAGCACGTGGCTGCCACGCGCCATGCGTCACAGGATGAACTATTGCATCTTGTTTCTTTTTGTTTCTTCTCTTCCTTCTAGGGAGGGCCGAGGAGGAGAAGGAACCTCCTGGAGCCTTGAAGGCCATGCCAGAGGGGCAGAGCTGCACCCACCTGCGACACGCCACCCCGAGACTGGGCACCGAGCCCCCCAGTACGGCATGGCGCCCCGTCGACAAAGGCTTCGTTACGCCCACCCTACGAAGAAGGAGAAGGACCAACAGGAGGAGGAGGAGGAGGAGGCAGAACGCTGCGTGCTCTAGCATGGAGTCTGAGCAACGTCGAAAAAGGGGAGGAGGAGAAGAAGGCAGAACTCTGCGTGCTCTAGCATGAAGCCTGAGCAACGTCAAAAAAGGAGGAGGAGGAGGAGGGCGAACTGTGATTCGGAGATGTGCGGCCTTGCCCACCCCGGACCGGTGGTCTCCACGCGTGCCGTTGGCCACGGCTGCGCACAGGGATGCGAAATATGCGCATGCAGATGTATCCATGTCTCGCGGTCGTTGCATGAAGCAGCAGAGGAGAAGAGGGATGACGGGCAGAAGACGTATGGGGTATCGATAGCATCACGTATCGTGTTGTCCCGATGAAGCGATGGAGGGTTCATCGAGATTACAGGTGCCCACACACACACGCAGGCAGACAAAATGCTTTGAAATACGCCGTCTAGATTCCAGGTGCCGTTCAATACACATGTGAGGAAAACTCGGTATTACGTGTTCTGTCGCACGCCCGTTCCAATGGCAGCAGATCTTTCTTCTCGTTATCAATTAGCCTTGTGCAGCCCGTGCACGCCTAATGTGCGCAGCCCAACGGACCATGCCATGCGGTTTTGTGTACAAAAAAACAAAACAACAAAACAAAAAAAGAAAGAAAAAAAAATAGACGCTTCGCGTAACCCCACCAGCTATCTGGCTCTGTGCCCCAGTCAGCCCGATTGACCCGCCCTCTGGAGCCTTCCTTGGGGCCGCAGATCAAAAAAAGTAACCCCACCAGCTTGGACGGCGCGCGGCCCTTCGGTTTGCGCTCGCGAACAAAAAAGTAACCCCACCAGCCCATGCAGAAACGATGCCCAGAGGAATTGCCTCGATCAGGGAAGAGGGCAGCATACAGGGGAAGGGTCCCCCAGTGGAGGCCTCTTAGAGCGTCTTGGGTGCCTCGGAGAGCTTCTTGGGGCCTCTTGGGGGTCTCTTGGGCCACTTGGAGGCCTCTTGGGCGCCTGTTGGGGTCTCCTGGGGCGTCCTGGGCGCCTCTTGGGGCCCTCTTCAAGCGCTCTTGGGAGCCTTGGGAGCGCTCTTTGAGCCCTTTTGGGCAATCTTGGAGCCATCTTGAGGCCTCGGATGGCCATCGGAAGCAAAAAGGCGAGAAAGCCAAGAACATTGGTGTCCCTAAGGTGTTGGAAGGATGTTGGTCTGTTCGTGGGCTCCTGGGGGAGCTCTTTGGCCACTTGGAGCTATCTTGGAGCGGTCTTGGGGCCTCTTGGGGCATCGCGGGAGCCATCTTGAGACATCTTGGGATATCTTGAGCCATCTTGGAGGTCATCTTGGGCTCTCCCAGGCGCTCCTGGAGTCATCTTAAGCAGTGCCCCCCCCCCAGGAGGCCAACATGTGGCCAAAACCTGTTGTAACATCAATGATTGTGATATTGTCGCTGAGGTCTCTTGGAGCGTCTTGGGTGCCTATGGGGGGCCTCTTGGGCGTCTCGTGGGAGCCCCTTGGGGGCATCCTGAGGGCATCTTGGGGGCCTCTTGGGGCCTCCTGGCCACATCGTGGGGCCCTCTTGGGGCATCCTTGGGAGCCTTGGGAGCGCTCGTGGGGCCATCTCGGAGGAGATCGATCAGAGAAGGGGGGTCCCTCAATTAGCGCTTCCCCCCGAGAGGCCAAAATGGGGCCAAAACCCTAGTGAAACAAATGAGTATGGCTTCTTCGCCGAGGCCGTTTTGGATGCTCCGACGACTCGCGGAACGCCCCGTCCAGGTCCAGGGGAGGGGGTAGGGGAGGGGGTCAAGAGTCTCCCTCCCCGCCCGCAAGCCGTCTCGCTCACTCCCACCCGCCCTCCCAACACATACGTAGCACCCGAGCCTGGCCCGAGCCGCAGCATATGCAGCAGTCGTCTTTGGATGGCCAGCTACTGGGGGCCAATCCGCCGCCGCCGCCGCCGCCGCCCGGGGAGGGGGTAAACCCTTCCCCGAAGGGGAAGAAGGGGGTGGAAGAAGAAACACCCTAAGCCACCTTCGCCCTAAAGGGCTGGTGGGATTGTCTTCGCATCCGCGCAATACTAGAGAGAAGAGGAGAGGGTAGGGATAGGAGAGGCTGGGATAGTCGTGAAGACGGGGGATCAGGGACCCTCTCCTTTGCCATCTTCAGGACAGCCCCCTGGACCCCACAGAATCTGCAGGACCTAGAACCAGCGAAGACGTCAGAGAGCCTCCGAAAACGCCTCCGTCCACCTTCGTCCTCCTCCCTCCTGCTCCCTCCTCCTCATCCCTCCTCCTTCCTCCTCCCTCCTCCCTCCTCCCTTCTCCCTCCTCCTCCTCCTCCTCCTCCTCCTCCCTCCTCCTCCTCCTGCTCCTCCTCATCCTGCTCCTCCTCCTCCTCCTCCTCCTCCTCCTCCTCCTCCTCCTCCTCCTCCTCCTTCGTCTCCTCCTCCTCCTCGTCCTCCTCCTCCTCCTCCTCCTCCTCCTCCTCCTCCTCCTCCTCCTCCTCCTTCCTCCTCCTCCTCCTCCTCCTCCTCCGTCCTCCTCTCCTCCTCCTCCCTCCTCCTCCTCCTCCTCCTCCTCCTCCTCCTCCTCCTCCTCCTCCTCCTCCTCCTCCTCCCCTCCTCCTCCTCCTCCTCCTCCTCCTCCTCCTCCTCCTCCTCCTCCCCTCCTCCTCCTCCTCCTCCTCCTTCTCCTCCTCCCCCCATGAGGGGCGGGGGGGGGAGGGGAGGCGAGGGAAGCCAGGAGAGGCTGCCGCAGCTCGTGGCAGGGCACGTCACGGAGGCGGGCCAGGGGGGTGCAAGGACCGGGGACTCGGCGACGGGCCCAGGCCGGGGGGGCAAGGCAGAGGTGGTGGGCCTCCTCGGAGGGCTCAGCGGGCCCCGCCGCCTTCCTAGAAGCTTTTCCTGGGCCTTGTCCGAGCAATCGATATATATATATATATATATATACACACACATATGTCTCTCTCTCTCTCTCTCTCTTGTCTCTCTTTCTCGCTGACTCTCTCTCTCTCTCTCTTTCTCTCTCTCTCTCTCTCTCTCTCTCTCTCTCTATATATATATACATGTGTATATATATATATATATAGATATAGAAGCTGCCCTTCAGAAGGCCCGAGTGATTCCGAGAAGCCCCACCGCCTTCTGACAAGCTTTTCGTTGGGCCTTTTCCCGGAAAGAAAAACACACCGGCTCCTCCCCCGAGGGCCACAGTGATTCTGCGAAGCCCCACCGCCTTCGGAGAAGGCATGCCCCCTCCAACGCCCCCTCCCCCCCTCCCCCCCCCCGGGCGGCACGCCGCCGAGGGACGCATCCGGGAGCGCGGATCGCGCAGCACGCCCTCCGGTTGCAAGCCAAAGCCCTTCCCCTCTCCACGAGGCCCTGCGCGGAAGCATCCATTTCTTTTTTGCTGCGGAAGGCGCCCAGGCGCATCACGGGTGTGCCGTTCGCGCCTCCTCCTCCTCCGTCCTCCTCCTCCTCCTCCTCCTCCTCCTCCTCCTCCTCCTCCTGCTCCTCTACTGCTCCTGCTCCTGCCTCCTCCTCCTCCTCCTCCTCCTCCTCCTCCTCCTCCTCCTCCTCCTCCTCCTCCTCCTCCTCCTCCTCCTCTGGGAGAGTCTCGTTTTGAGAAGGAAGCGCCATCCGCCTTTCTGGCTCGAACGTTTCCTTGGAGCGTCCAGCGACGGCCTCGCTTTGGGAAGGAGCCGCCCCCTCCGCCCGTGTGTGCAACTGGTGCGCGGTGTTGGAGGGTCTGCCGTGCTGGAGTCGAGGAAGGAAAAACCACCCGGACCGGAAAATACTCCAGATTTCGTAATAAAAGGGAGGGGGTCTGGACCCTCCAAGACAAGCCATTTCAGACCTCCCCCGTGGGAGAACCCTCCAAAACGTTGTCCCCAGACCCCCCAGGCCCTCCAAGGTAGCCTGGAAGAGACCCCCCCCCGAAATGAGACCCCCCTTCCTTTATTACAAAATCTGGAGTAGGCGTTTGCTAAACGGCCTGGGGCGTTCACTAAGCAGCCCTGCCCTGTTCGATTCCTTCAGTGGGGGCGTTCAGTAGACGGCTTCGCGCGTCAGGGGTGGTTATTCTTAAGTCGGGCCCGTCCCTCTACAGGAGGAAGATTCAAAAATAGTTCTAACAACAAAAATATGGGGACGATTTTCTGACTATGTTTGGGCACGTTGGGGGCATGTGTGGAGCATGTTTTATGTGTCCTTCCAAATCCGCCTGTAGGGGGACAGGCCCGACCGAAGGCTATTATGGGGGAGGGACTTTTTCCCTCTACGGAAGAGCGCACGGGGAGCCCCACAGTCGAGAAGGGGCCTCCCTCCCTCCGTGCAAAAGTGGCGGAAGCGTTTTTACGACGGATGCCCGCGGCGCGAAGGCGCGATTCACATTTCGAAGTCGCCCGCTGTTCGATCCGTGCAATTGCCGGCAGAGTTGATCAGGGCCTCCAAGAGAGCCCCAAGAGAACCCCAGGAGGGCCCCGAGCGGCCCAAGAAAACTTCGAAATTTCCCCACGATGGCCCCACGATGGACCGAAAAGCCTCCCCGTCCCATTCTTTCTCCCCTTCCTGGTTTGCCCCCTCCCCCTCCCAAGGCTGATGCGTGCGACTCAAAGGCGAGAGCCACGTACTGAAAACCGCCTCTTCTCGTCGGTGTAATTGATGGTGGCTTCGGATACGAATGTGCGCCGCGAATCTTCAAGCCACTCGCCATCTATCGAGATGCTTGGCGGAAACGTCAACCTTCAGAACAACACGTTTCCAGGCGCAACGTCCGTCCACCCCACCCGCCCCGTCTAGCGCTCTGCCTGGTGATGCGACAAGGGGGAACTGCGTCCCGGTCTGCCCGCCGGGCTCCCGTTGCCAGCACCGCCGCGAGGATGGAAGCCTCTGCAACAAGGCCCTCGACCCGCACGGCTGGCACGCGGTCAAGTGCGAGATGGGCGCATCGCGCAACCAGCGCCACAACAATTGTCGCGACTGGCACTCCGCGAAGCACAAGGAGCTCCCAGGCTTCGCGGCGCCCACGGAGCAGGCCGTCCCTGCCTGGGATCGCCGCCACCCCCGCACTGGGGTGCTGCAGCAAGCCGTCCCCGACTTCTCCATCAACGACCCGGCCAACGGACGCCACGTCTACGTCGACTGGGCAATCACTTGCGTACAATCACCCTACGGTCCCCGCAGGGGTGCCCGGGCAGACAGAGACGGCTCGGCGGCCGCCCAGATGGGGGAACAGAAGAGCAGTAACCCCCACACGGGGGCGAGGTGGCCCCCCTCGTCTGCGAGACGGGGCCGGCCCAGCGGCGAAGCCGCCAGCTTCGTCCGCAGTTACGGAGCCGGCCTAGACGACGGCGAGCACTCCGAGTTGCTGGGCAGCCTCTGGCGGCAGATCAGCAGAACCCTCCAAAGGGGTAGTGCTGAAATGCTGCTGAGCGCACTCGGGCGCTAGGCGAGCAGACCCCCGCCTCCGTTTGGTCCACCGCGACCGCCGCCAGCGCAGTGACCACCACAAACGGCCGCGACAACAGCCACGAACCCAGACCACCACGACCGCCAACAGCACGAAAAAAGCACTGCCGCCACCACCAGCACCACGACGACGATTCTGAACACGACGACCCCCACGACCCACGACGCCGCGACCACGACCAGCGCCGGCACATTCACCACCGCGACCACCGCCGATTAGCCTTACGACCACGACCACGGCCAGCGCGACGGCGCCATGACCACCACCACTGCCATTATCACCACCGACCCGGCCGCCCCCGCCCCTGGCCGCCCCTTTTCTTTCTTCTCCCTGCCCCTGTCGGGCCGCCCTTGCTTCCTCTTCTTCTCCTCCTCCTCCTCCTCCTCCTCCTCCTCCTCCTCCTCCTCCTCCTCCTCCTCCTCCTCCTCCTCCTCCTCCTCCTCCTCCGCCTCCTCCTCCTCCTCCTCCTCCTCCTCCTTCTATTCCTCCTGACAAGTAGTTAAGTAATGATTCATGTGGGCCCCTCGCAGAAGGCGGCGGTGTGCCTGGCGCGAGGGTGCGATCGGATCGACTATCCCGGCCGCCCCAGGGGTCCCGCTCGCAGGTGCCAGCCCCTTCTGGGAGCCCCTGGGTCCGTGGAAGGAAGAGGATGGGAGGGAGGGAGGAGGAGGAGGAGGAGGAAGAGGAGGAGGAGGAGAAGGAGGAGGAGGGGAAGGGGGACAGGGCCGCTCCGCTCGGGAAACGGGTCCGCAGCTCAGAACATAGGAGGAGGAGGAGGAGGAGGAGGAGGAGGAGGAGGAGAGGAGGATGAGGAGGAGGACGAAGGAGGAGGAGAAGGAGGAGGAGGAGGAGAGGAGGAGGAGAGGATGAGGAGGAGGGGGAGGAGGCGGATGAGTTGGAATTGGAGGATCCCCCCTCCCCCTTCTCCATACTCCCTTCTCCCCACCTGCCCTCCTGCTCCATCCGCCTCCCTCCTCCGAATCATCATGTCTGTTCCGTCCCCCCCTCCCCCATGCTTGCCCCAAGGGGCCCCCGCAAGAGCGCTATCCCCACGCGCGCGGGAGCGCGCGCGAGCGCCGCCGAGTATACCGTGCGCGGCGAGAGGTGGCCGTGAAGATCATCCGCGACGTGAAGCGGTACATGGAGAACGCCAAGATCGAGGCGGCGATCCCCCTCCTCCTCCTCCTCCTCCTCCTCCTCCTCCTCCTCCTGCCCTCCGCCCGTGGAGCCCCCTGGCATGTCCTTTCCCCGAGTGTGCGCTGCGCTGCGGCGGGACCCACATCTTTTGGGAGCCACCCGCCCTCGATCCGTGCAGCTGTTGCAAGCTTTTAGAGCACACGCGCGGCCAGTCGCGCGGCGCGTAGGAAGGGAAAGGAGGGAGGAGGAGAGCCGAGGAGGAAGACTGCAGGAGCCAGGGGGGAGGAGGCAGAGGGGAGGCGAAGGGAGAAAGCACGGGCAGAGGCGGAGCACGAAGGGAGGGGGAGAGGAGGAACGAGGGAGGGAACAGGGGGGGGAGGGACGCAGCTGGAGCGGAGGAGCGGCAGCCGCAGGAAGGGGAACGCTGAGGAGGGAGGGTGGCCGATGACGAGGACCGGCCATGTGGGAGGATGATGAGGAGGACCGTTGCTGTTGCTTGCTTGCAAGGTCCTTGCTGGGTGGGAGGGGCAGGAAAGGTGTACACGGCGTCTCTTTTAGCCGTTAGCAGCAGCAGGAGGACCGGTAGCGCGGGAGGAGGAGGAGGTCAAGGGAAGAACAGCCGCCCAGACCCTGACAATTGGCGTTCACTAGCCGGTCCTGGGCGTCCACTAAACAGCCCTGCTTGGTTCGCTTCCTTCCTGGGGTTCATTTGCTAGACTGCTTCGCTTGTCGGGCTGTTGATTATGGGGGTGGCGTTTCTGCCCCCTTGGACGGGAGTGTCGCCGCTGGAGAGACGGTGGCCCTGGACTGACCCTGGACTGAACCCGGACTGGACCCCTGACCCCCGACCGGCCCTGGACTGCCCCCAGACTGCCCCCAGACTGATCCCAGGATTGACCCCAGACTGATCCCAGTCAGACCCGGCAGATGGATCCAGGAATGACCCCAGATTGACCCCCGGCGGACCGTGGACGGGCCCCGAATTGACTGACCGCCTGAAGACTGACCCCGGACTGACCCCGGCCTCATCCTGCCAAGAACTTCGCCCATAGATGTAACCCTGGATCATTTTGAACATCAGCCGAGTCGACCGTCACACGGTCAACCTAGGCCTCCCCTGGGCGAGCGAAAGCAATCACACGCCGAAAGATGTTTTCGGGCAGGGGGGTGCGTGAGCGGGCCGATCTAGTTCCTGGACTTCCACCAGCTGGCGACTGAAACTCCCGATCTGGTGCAGCCGAGACCTAGCTTTACCGATTCTGCGTTCCACGAGCGGGGAGTATTTCTATACCGCCCTGCCTGGCGGTCAAAAAAAACAGCGCTGCCCCAACCATCCACCGTGGAGCCCACACCGCTCGTCCGACTCTTCCTCCCGACAGCGCAGCGGTCGTCGCCCTGCACGCGCCCGCCCGCGAGGGCGGCCGGGCGCGGCCATCTGAGGCTTCTGTGCGTTCCCCTTCGGTCTGGGTCGGGGGCTGCGGCCGGAGGGGGTTCGAGATCCGCGCTGATCTTTGTCTCATCACGCGGCCGTGGTCGAAGGAGAAGAAACGCCACAAACATAAACTTTTGGCGCTCCGCGCGGATGCTCTTGGATCCGTGCTGGAGCCCCGGCGCCAGAGGCGCCGCTGTGGGTGCTCCAGCGCGGATCTAAGGAATCCGCGCGGAGCGCCAAAAGCTTACGTTTGTGGCGTTTGTGTTCCTCTTCTACGTGAGGTGCCACCCTGGAAGAGGGAGAGAGGGAGGAGAGAGGAGGAGGAGGAGGAGGAGGAGGAGGAGGCGAAGGAGCAGGAGCAGGAGCAGGAGCAGGAGCAGGAGGAGCAGGAGGAGCAGGCGGAGCAGAGGGTGGAGGAGGAGGCGGCGGAGGAAGGAGGAGGAGGTGGAGGAGGAGCAGGAGAAGGAGGAGGAGGAGGAGGAGGAGAAAGTAGGAGGAGGAGGAGGAGCAGGAGGAGGAGGAGGAGGAGGAGCAGGAGAAAGGAGCAGGAGCACGAGCAGGAGGAGCAGGAGGAGGAGGGCGATGCGGAGAGGCCGACATCCTCGCCGACATCCGCAAGGCCGACCCCGCAGGCCGCCCGGCACCGGAGAGCAGCCCTCCCCGCGCGCCCCAGGGGCCGGCGACGGCACGAGCCGCTCCGTGCGCGGCCGGAGGGGGCGCCCGACGCGGCGGCGAGCGAGGGGAGCGCCTGCAGGCTGAAGTCGGTCCTGTCCCTCTGCAGGATGTTCAAGGGTAGTCAAAGAATTAGTCCGGGGACGAAAATCCGATCGGGATAACTCGAAATCTCTGAGAATCGGCGGGTTTGGAGGATGTGTTGGGCGGCGCGGCCGCTCCAGAGCGTTCCGGAACGCTCTGAGAGCGCTCCGGAACGCTCTGGAGCGATTTATCCCGATCCTAGCCTTGTTTTAGGAGCGCCTGCAGGCGCAAGTCGGTCCTGTCCCTCTACAGGGCACTCAAGGGTAGTCAAAGAATTAGTCTGGGGACGAGTTTTTCAAATCATGTTTTGACTGTGTGAGGGCGTGTTTTGAGTACGTTCAAGTTTTCGCCCAAAATCCGCCTGTAGGGAGACACGCCCGACCTAAGCTTAAGTCGGTCCTGTCCCTCTACAGGATGTTCAAGAGTAGTCAAGAATAGTCTGGGTACGGCTTTTCAAACTATTGTCGGGGGGGGACAGGCCTCCTACCGTGACACGTCGATTGAGGAATTGACCGTTTTCGATTCGCGAGAGGGCGTCGCGGCCGTCATTTTTGCGGGTCCAGGTCCGTCGGTGTCGGTCCCATGCCGTTTTCACTAAGGGGAGGTTGACTAAAGGAAGGTTTGTCCACCGCCGAAATAGTCTGGGGACGATGTTTCAAATTATTGTTAAACTATTTGGGGGTATTTTTGAGTATGTTGAATTGTTCACCCCAAAATCCGCCTGTAGGAGGACATGCCCGACCGAAGCCGAGGCCCACCAAAGAATGTTCTAAGAACCTTTTGTGGTCTGCACGAAATGGTCTTTGAACATTTCTGGCTGGGACGGTCTTGATTTAGAACATCGGGCTCATGTTCTAAGAGCAGTGCTCTTGTTATTAGAACAGTTTGGGGTTCCAAGAACATGTCGTGGTAGGCCTATAGAAATGCCGGGGCGGCCGGTCCCTGCTCAAAAGGGGGGAAGTGAGAGGGAGAAGGCCTTCTCGGGAGGCGGCGTGACTTCTCGGAAGCCCTCGCGCCTTCTGAGATGTAACCTTCTGTGCCTTCGGGGAAGACTTTGAAAGCCTTGTGAACAAGAAGAGGAAACAAAAATGCACAAACAACCAAAAATGGGGGGCTTCCGAGACTTCTGAGAAGGCCCGCCCCTTCGCACGTCCCCCTGGCCTCGCCGCCGACCGACCCCTTTCCCCAGGGTTAGTCGTTCGTCCCGGATCCGTTTTCGATGCTCCCGGGGCCCCATGACGCTCGGGGGCGGCAAAGAGGGGGGTGATGACTATAAGGGGGGGGGGATATCATGGCGTGGGCCATGATATTTCCTCAGATTTCATGGCGCCTCTTCTTATTTCATTACGTCCGTAGCCCCCCCCACCCCCCTGGGCCGCGCACATGCCGCCGGTCATGATTTGCAACCCCCCCTCTTGGACGCCCCCCTTTTTGTCCGCCCCCGAGACGGGCCCCGGAGGCCGAAGTCGAGGAAAAGCGCAGGGATTGCAAACATCGGAGCGTCGGAGGTCTGGGGCCGCGTCAGGTCCCTGTCGGGCGCCCCTCGCGGTGGGTGGGGGGGGAGGGGGGTCGACGTGCTCGTCGTTGCTCGCCGCCTCCTCGTGCTCCTCCTGCCCCTGTACCTCTCCAGCGTTGGTGGAGTGGGCCGTCTGCCCCGCTGGCCGTGTCGGACGGCCCTGCTGGGGAGCAGCGCGATTGCCGACTGCACGTAGGAGTGGCCTTTCGCGGGAATGACCTTTGGTGCGGGCCCATTGGGGTCCCCCGATCGCTGCATGCGAGGCGATACGTGGCGTCGCTCGGACGTGTGCTTTTTTCTCGGCGAGGACCATCGAGGAGCATCTTTGACCATTTAGCGGAAAAGACACTCACGAAATCGAGCAATGCACGGGGAATGGACGTCCGAGCGATGGCGAGGATAGCAGCAGCTTGCGCGCTCGGGTTTGGCTCCCCCGCGCCATCCCGAAGGCCACGCACCAGAGGTCACTCTTGCCTGGGGTCGCTCTGGCGTGGAGCCGAGCTTGTCTTTCAGAGGCGGCTCAACCGACCCCTGGGCAAGCCACCCCCTTCCGTGGCGTCCCCCTCGCCTCACCCCAAGATGTTTGTGTGCGGCCGGAGGGAAGCTTGGGAGGCGAGGGCGATGCCACCGACGGTGCTCGGAAACTGGAACAGCGGCGGGCTCTCTTTCAATCCCACGACTTTTTGAGGGTCGGGGATGATGTCGGGGTGGTGTGGTGTATACTTTCCCCCGTTTTCCCAGGGAAACAACGAAAAATGTATACACCAGGATCCCCTATATACACCAGGATCCGCGTTCCTTTGCGAATTTCAGCGCAGGGTCGGAAAAAGCGTTGGTGTCTAGAGCTCGTTTCCCGAGGTGCTTCTCGCGGCAGGCTTCGGTTAGGCCACGCCCGATGCCCTTCCTGCCCCTGGATGAGTGTTCTGTCACCCCTTGGAGCTCTTGTCGCAGGCCCACGCGGTCTGTTCAGGGACCCTCTGCGCACCCCCCCTCACTGTGTGGTTGCCCTAGCCTGTGATGTGGTTATTGGTCGCGCATCGCCACCACTCGCACGAACTGCCAGTTCTCTTCGTGCCCAGCCTTACACGCCGGTCGTTGGAAGTAGGTATTTCTGGATTCTCAGATCCGAATCTACATCAAGCGCATTCCTACTTGAAGAACCGATAGTACTGGTTGCGCTGTGTTTTTACCCGGGAGTGCCCGAACCCAATCTACTTGATCGGCCTTCCTACTTCATGTTTCGAGTTCTTCCGACAGGCGTGTAGCCCGCAAATGATTATATATGTGGCGGGCTCCTACATGTTTGTCGTTGTCTGTTCTCTATCTCTCTTTCTCTATGTTCTCTCTCTCTCTCGATCTATATATATATATATATGTGTGTGTATGTGCATTTATACATGATCCCCTCTGCCTGTATGTCTATACACACATACATCCCGGTCACTCTCTCGCAGTCGTGATTTTCTTCTTTCGCACACACATTCGTTATCCCTCTCTATCGCTCTCTCTCTCTCTCGCTCTTTCTCTCACTATCGTTATCTCCCTTTGGATGTGCCTAACTCTCTCTGCCTCTGTCTCTGTCTCTCTCTCTCTCTTTCTGTATGTCTCTCTCTCTCTCTCTTTATATATATATATATATACGTTTACCTGTATAATTAGAGAAAGTATGTGAATAGGCATTCACATCTCTACACATACATGTTTATATGTAGACCCGTATGTTTGGCCCTCTCTCTCTCGCTAAATATATGTTGGTGCGTACACATATATGTCCCTCGCACACGCTATACATACATATCTATACACACGTATAGATGTCCCTCTCTCGCTCTCTCTCTCTCTCTCTCACTCTCCCTTTCCCCCTCACTCTCTTATGCTGCTACTTCTTGCGCATGTTCTTCATCGAATGACTGCGCCGAGGGAAATCTGGGTGCTCGATCATGTACGAAACGTTCGTCCACGAGCAGAGGTGCCAATGCACGGCTGACGAAGGGTTAGGGAACAGCGGTGAGCGACGAGAGGGGTTAACAATTCAGCATGGACAATGGATGGGGGCACCATGGCGAAGTGGTCAACGACCGAGATGATCAGTAAATTGTCTGCGGCAGTTACATCCAGAATCAGGAGCACGGGTAGAGATGGACACGCAAGTGAAGTCAAACGCTTGGCAGTAAGGTTGTTTGTTGTCTGCGCAGCCAAAGACAGTCGGTGAGAAGAGATGCCGCCGCGAGAGTGGCGCGAACTCACATGTCAAGTCCCACCCGCTCGCATTCAACATTCCACGCTTTGACTGGGGGGGGGGCGCTTTTCGGCTCCAGGGTCCCTCCTGCAAGTGGCCCCATGTGCTCTGGGAAGCCCCGAAGTTGGACAGGGCAAGTCTGGGAGGAAAGTACAAACCTGCTTGGGAGCCCAGGCTGGCCCCGTCCAAGGTGTCCCGCAGTTTGCTGTACGACTGCATTTCCAAAGCGCCTGCTTGCCTTGCCCGCGTGCTGCAGGAGCCCCGGGTGTGCCTGCGCCCTGCTGGCGCCAACACCGTCAACAGTTCCAGTGCCCAGCTTGGCCGCGGCGGTGTGCTGCGGTAGCGCGGCCACTGTGCGCGCCAGCTTGCGACGCGCGGGCACGAGTTGATTTCACGCGCCACCATGCGTTGCGCGCGTCCTCAGCAACGCTCGAGCACAGAGCACGTGCGCGGCGCTGGGTGGCGCAGTGACTGGGGTCGGCGTCACCTTGCCGCGTGGGCGCCGGCCGACGCATCGGTCGATGCCCATGTCGGGGAAGCCATGATGGCGTATGAGGGGGGGCGCGTTGGTTCTGTCCGGACTGAGGGCCCCAGAAAGGCTTCACGCCGTCGAGTCCCCCGCTCTTCGCCGATCCGACCGTTGCCGACGCTGGACTTCTCGTGCTGCGTCCGCGTGCATTACAGATGGCACGTGTGCTAAGGACAGCTTCAGCGTTGGAGGGGTGCCTTTCTCTTCTTCGTGTGCGGCTCTCCGGGTTAAAGTGCTCGTCATTTGGGGTATCTCCAATCGGCCTTGGATCTTCCGCGATGGGACTCGTGTTCTTGGCACTCCCTCCTGTGGCCACGTTTCGATTGGTAGGCCCAGTAGCTGTGAGAGTGGCAAGGTTCTTCTGCTTGGTGCTCGAGCCGCTCGGCACCTCGCTGTACGACTTTCTCAAGGCGAACAACTTCAAAGGCTTCTGGATGCAGGACCTGGGGGAGCTGATCGCGGCCGCCAGCATGGGAGAGAGCCACTGCAGCGGCGGCGTCGCAGCGGCGCGCGGAGGCAGCGACGACGGCGACGACGGCGGCAGCTGGTCCCCTGAGGCCGACGTATCCCCTGGCCGAGGGCGCGATTACGCTCGCAGGCCGTTCTGGTGAGGAACCCCGGCGCGCCTCCTCAACTGCCTCGTCCGGTGGGGGTGCATTTGAATGGGAGATCTGACCATGCCCAGCATGTATGCCTCATCCATCCCTTCCGCCCTTCCGCCGCACGAAGAGGTGTCTCATGCGCCGGGGGATCGAAGGAGCGCCGGAAGTGTGCAGGCCTTCGAGCGTAACAGCGCTGTAAGTTCACACCGCGGAGTGAGCGCACAGTGCGCGGCGTGCATTATTAGCGTGCAGCATCAGAGCGCAAAGCACTAGCGTGGAGTGCGTGAGCTCAGCGAGGAGAATTTGAGCTCAGCGTGGAGCATGTCCCCAACGCTACGCTCCCATACCCCACGGTACACTGACACACCGCGCTACACTCACGTACCCCACCGTTCACTCACATACTACACAATATGTTCAAAGACTTCACGCTAGGCTCAAAGCCTTCGCGCAGCGTTCGCCCGCTGCCCGCTATGCTTACCACGGCCACGTGCGTCACGCTACGCTCGCAGACTTCACCTTTCGCCCACACTTTTCTCACAGCGCTCACATGCTGCCTGCTCCGCTCGCACACTACACGACGCGCCCGCTCGTTGCGCGATACGCCCACATGCTGGCCGCTGCGCTCACACACTTCACGCGACGCTCGACTGTTGGCTCTGGACGCCGCACAATGCACGCTGCCCCGACCTACTGCACACTGGATGCCGAGCCAACATGCTGCACGCTACACTCACACAGCGACGATCGCATATTGTTCTGCGCTTAGATAACGCACACTGCGCCAACAGTGTGCACGTTGCGTTCACAAGCGGCGTCATACACTCACGTATCACGCGATGAGCTTACAAACTGTTTGACACGCTAACACGTTGCACTGTACGGCAACACATTGCACGCAACGCTCACACACAGCACGCTAGGTTCACAGGTTGAGCGTTACACTCACACCGGTTCAGGATGTTCTCACACAATGCACCTTACGCGCAAATGCTGCTATCTGCGTTCACATATCGCTCGCGAGTACTTCTCGGTGGCACTGAACGCTTGTAATGCTCCTCAATACAGAACGCGAATATTGAAGGTGCACGCTGGACGCGAATGCTGCGCGCTAGTACTGGGCGCTAAAACTGCGCGCCACTACTGCACGATCTCGCTCGCACCACTGTGCACTTCCAGCCACCAGGGCAACGTACACTTACAGTATACCATCCCAGTGGAGTTTGAGGCGACCTCCACAGTGGGGAGGGTCTAGTTCAGAGGATTCCAGACACCCACGTCGCTCTTGTTCCAGCGTCGGGTCGGGGCCCTGGGAAGTCCACATGTGAGGCTTCTCCAGTCTAGATTTCGCTTGCGGAGCCTAAGATCTGGCCAGTCTCGTTGCCGATGGGGCGGGAGGACATCCAGAGCATCGCCGAGCAAGCCATGCAAGCCCTGGCGTTCCTGCACGGACCGCGGCCGCCTCCGTCGCTGGGCGCAGGAGGAAGGCATTGTCGTCGTCTTCTCCCCCTCAGGTTCCCCAGGGGAGATCAAGGCAATACGACTTCAGAAGGTTGCGAAGATCAGCACAGATCAATCTGAAGCTGTCCGTGCAGACATCGCATGTCTCCAAGCCGTCTGGGGGACGAATCATCGTGTCCCAGGGTTCACCTCTGGTGTCGCCCTTCCTCATGTTGCGCTCTTTAGCGTCACGTTGGCTACAGGGAATGTCCAACATGAGCACCGGCTGGAAACAGCTGCATTTGCACATCATGTGAGCATTCCATGTGTAGGGTCGAATTTCGAGGTGTGGTTGAGAGAGTGAGCATCGTGAGCAAGACGATGAAGTCGTATATGCTAATGCGTGCCGCTGGGCCTCGGCCGGAATCTGAAAATGTGCGGAGGGTCTCGCACCTGAGCTGGCCTTGCTCGGGAGGTTTGCGCGGGGCGGCCTCGTCCCGTGTATGGAGCCCGCAGTTCGGATGCAACTTTTGGGAGGTCAAATTCTGTTTTTGCCCTGGTCCGAAATCCGGCTGAATCCCGCTTAATCTGGCTTCATCCCGCTGGATCCCGCATAATCCCGGCTTAATCCGAGGCCCCCTCCGGCATGACAGCCCCCCCAAGGGGCTGAATCCTCGTTAATCTTTCCGACGAAAAACCTCCCAGCAGCTGCCTCCTATCGCAGGCCTAGAGGTTGACACCAACACCAAGATCGGCGGTGTGCCTCCACCGAGGGAAGACGATCCCGATCTCGGTGACGGTGGTAATATTCTGGCTTCCCAGGTGACCGAAATATTGCCACCAACACCGAAATCTAGGATCATCTTCCCCATGTGGAGGGAGGCAACCCCCTGAGCTGGTGTTGGTGCCAATTTCCAGGCCTCCAATCCTAACCGCAGAGAGCATCGCGTGCCCCCACCCGCCCCGTCCAGGCACGAGGAGAGAGGGGGGGGAAGGGAGGAGACCCTCCGGTCCATGGGGGTCGCCTGGGAAGGCAGCGCAGGGGCGTTCCGTGGCAGCGGGCGGGGGGGGCCGAGCCAGCGCCCCCGTGGAGCCCGCCGGGTCCGAGAGGGGAGCAGGGCCGGTGCTTCCTCGGGCCGTCTTCGTTTAGCCCATCGAGGGAGGAAGAGAAGGAGGAGGGGAGAGGAGAGGGGAGGAGGGAGAAGAGAAGGGAGGGAGGGGATGCAGGAGGAGGAGGAGGAGTAGGGGGGATGATGAGGAAAGGGATGAGGAGGAAAGGAGGAGGAGGAGTAGGAAGGCAAGGAGGGAGGAGGAGGGGAGTGGATGGGGAGGCGGAGGAGCTGGCGGGGGCCAGGAGCAGGAGCAGCAGGAGGAGGAGGAGGAGGAGGTGAGTGCGTGTGATACCCCAATCGGCCTTGCCGACAGCGCGCAGCCTGTGTCGGCGCTCGTGGCACCGCCTGCGTCGTATCGAGGCGCGCCTGCTGGCAGCACAGGTCGGCGCTGACTCAGGTCCTGAGGATAATCGAGCAGAGCGAGCAGGGCTCGCAGGAGCGGACCTGGGACATAATAACATCCTCCAAGAACATGAGACCCGTCGCAGGCCGAACTGAAGGACATTCGAGGGTACCCTCCCCCAGGATGCACAAGAACATCCAAAAGACGCGAAGAATATCCTCCCCGAACCGACCTCGATCTCACACCTCGGTCCGACCGTAGCAGGAGCGGACGGGGTGGGAGCGCCAGTCGAGCCCAAGAGGTGGAGCAGGGCAAGTGAGGGGGGGAAAGTGAGAAAGGGAAGGCCATCTCAGAAGGCGCTGGGGCTTTTCAGTGCCTTCGGGGAAGGACTAGACAACTTCTCAGAAGGCCAGGGGACTTCCGAGCATTCTGAGCAGGCCCGCCCCATTCTCACTCCCCCCCGCGCTCGCCGCCAACACCAATTGGAAGCAGGGCGAGCAGGTCTCCGAGAGGCCACGGAGAGCAGCCGCGCGGGCGGGGCCCCTCGGAAGCCGGCGCGCCCGCCCCACCGGCCGAGCCTCCTGCACGCCGGGGGCAGGCCCCCCTTTGGGCGGTGCGAGCTGTGGGGGCCGGCTGCCGCCCGAGGGCTCGCGGAGGAGGCCGGCCCGCCACGAAGCAGACCCAGACACGAGGGCGTCGCCACGAAGCAGACCCAGACACGAGGGCGTCGTAAAAAGAAGAGGAGGAGGCCGGCCCGCCACGAAGCAGACCCAGACACGAGGGCGTCGCCACGAAGCAGACCCAGACACGAGGGCGTCGTAAAAACAAGAGGAGGAGGCCGGCCCGCCACGAAGCAGACCCAGACACGAGGGCGTCGTAAAAGGAATCGGGGCGGGAGGTTTTGTGCTGTGCTCGGCCTTTGGAGGCCCTCGCTGGCCCTCGGGGGCAGTCAAAGAGCAACTCGGGGTGAGCAACTCCTCAATCCTCCTCCTCCTCCTCCTCCTCCTCCTCCTCCTCCTCCTCCTCCTCCTACCTCCCTCTCTCCCGCCCTCC